TATGTATATTATGAAACTGTACTAAAGAAATTCACGTTTTTAAATCCATTGTATTTATTGACTATGTTATACCAAATTTTATATGTTTTGATCAGAATATAATTTTATTTTGATCAATAAACTTTTTAAACAACTTGAGACAAAATAATTAACGTTTGTGAAATCAAAAAAAGAAGTAGAAGGCTGTTCTGACGGAAGTTAGGTCTTCGTAATATATAAAAGAAATTGAACACTTACGATTTTTCAAAGATATGACTAACTGAAAATGCGTACGCAACAATATAGTATTAAACTGCAAGTATAGATCAAAAGTAGCATATTTTAATATAAGATATTTTGACTAGCGAAACAAAAATACACGATTGTTATTTATTTTTTTTAAAGGCATTCAATACATTATTTTTTTTCTTTAAATTAATATTTGTAATGTAACCAGATACTAGAACTACGTTTAAATTCAGTTTCTAGTAGCCAGCTACTAGAAGCTAGCTTTATTGACATGTTTTAGCCAGTTTCTAGTAGCTAGCTTTACCCACTTGTCGTAGCTAGTTACTAGTAGCTAGCTTTATTCTCATTTTAAGTCAGTTACTAGTAGCCGGTTACTAGTAGCTAACTTTACATATCTCGAAAATATGTCCTCCTGATGAGCCAGATTTGCTATACATGTAGTATCAATTATGATCATGCTTATAAATCTTTCGTATTGTTACCGTAACTTTTCATGCTTTTGATAAAAAAAATTCTTTTCATGAAATTTTCATACCGGAAAGCACATGTATATCTACTCAGTGTCTTAAGCAACTGTTACAGATCTGGAACTTCTCCATCTTTGATTAAATTCAATTTGGCTTTACCCAGTAGCGGCATATTCCTATTTTAGTAAAAAGTGCATTGTATATACTAGTAGTATCCTTTTGTACGTTGGTTATGACTATTGTCAACTTTCTAATTTCTTGGAATATTTGAATTTTAACTTTTAGAAATGATACGATTCAAATTCAGAGAATTTGTGTACCCCGCTTAAGGATGCACAGATCCCCCCCCCCCCCCCCCCAGTTGTTCTGGAGAAGAAGTCGAAAATGTGAAAAGTTTACAGACAGACGGACGGACAGACGGACAGACAGACGGACGGACTACAGACAAAATGTGATGAGAAAAGCTCACTTGAGCTTTCAGCTCAGGTGAGCTAAAAACCGGACACATATTGACAGGGAGACCCGATGTAAAATGATTTGATCTAGCACCAATCAGATATTAAATTCTTTTGCAAGGAGCTTGGCAAATATTTTGAGAACCAAGTTTAAAAAGATTTGTATTTCAAGTATTTCAGTAATTTAAAAGATGCATATATTTTCGTGAAAGTATCTATGCTTGCAGTAAGGACATGAACTAGTATGACCTTTTGATTGAGGTTAACAGACAGATCAATCATAAGGCATAAAACCGTTTTGTATCCCAGGCAAGTTAACAATATTACAATATGGGATCTCTCCTAAGTACAATCTAATAGAATGGTTTCAAGAAATTCGAGAATTATTTATAACGTGGATGCTACAATGTACTTTCTACTTAGGAATAGTGCGCTACCAGCTGTCTAGGTAATAAATCTAGCATTTAATCAAATATCGAGGTTTAAAATCTGTATTGGTTGCTTAATTAAGATCACTCAGATTTGCAGAATTATTAAATGTATACATGTATACTAAAGCAAATTAAAAATGCCAATATGGATATATAGATTTGATTGTTTATTCTTTAATATGTGTAAAGAAGATTTTGTTATTCCTCCTCTTTGGTCTAGAGGTATGATTCTTGCTTGGCAAATGAGAGGTCCCGGGTTCAAATCCCGCACGACCCCCCACCCCCCTAATTTACTAAATGATAGCATTCAACATATGAAATGAAAAAAGTTATGACGTCTGGACGGTCTGGTGTGTACAAACTTCTCATATGTAAATCATTATTACAGTGTGGTAAATATTCTATATAAAAAGAATCTTCAATACACATGTTAAAGAATAAGCAATCAAATCTTTATATCCATATTGGCATTTTTATATGCTTAAATATACATGTATACATTTAATAATTTTACAAATCCGGGGGGGGGGGTCCGACACCCCCCTCCCCCGAACTACGCATGATCTTCTTTTTTCCCTAAGCGAGGACACAAATTCTCTGAATTAGCTTGTTAAAATAGTAAAATGAAGTAAACATTATTTCGTTATAGGGAGATTATTAACTCCTTATTACAAGTGAGCTATATTGTTATACCGAGTTAGTTATATGGTTATCACAAGATGTTTACTCGTTATAACGGGATGTTTACTCGTTATAACAAGATATTTATTCGTTATAAAGAGATTTTTATTCATTACAACGAGGTAACTTGTAATGAGATTTTGTTTCATGAGATATTAACTCGTTATAACGAGTAAAATATTTTTATTTATTTACCTTCTCAAAATGAGCCTATATTGCATTTGTATTACTTAAAAAATACAAGATGTGTTTGTGAAGCACTGATGCCCCCGTATGGCAACTTATAGCGAAGATTAAACTTTCTCAAATGCAAATCAAATATGTTGGTACCCAAAGTAAGGTCTTGTACCGAGGAATATACTTGACTACTTGTAAAATATGAAAGCCCTAGCAGCAACCATTGAAAAGATATGGAAAAGGTTAAAATTTTTCAAAAGTAAGTCAAACATCAAGGTCAAGTAAAAATTAATGGTGCCCAAGGAAAGTCCTTTTCACAAGAAATACACGTGAAATGTGAAAGCCCTAACACCAACCATTTAAAAGATATGGCCAAGGTTAAAGTTTTTCAAAAGTAGGTAAAACTCCAAGGTCAAGGTCAATGGGCTATAATTGTAGGTATCCAAAGGAAGGTCTTGTCACAAGGATAACATATGTGAAGAATGAAAGCCCTAGCACCAACCGTTCAAAAGATTTGGCCAATGTTAAAGTTTTTCAAAAGTAGGTCAAACCCCAAGGTCAAGGTCAAAGGGTCAAAGTTGTTGGTATCCAGAGGAAGGTCTTGTCACAAGGATTACACATGTGAAATATGAGAGCCCTGGTGTCAACCGTTCAAAAGATATGGCCAATGTTAAAGTTCTTCAAAAGAAGGTCAAACTCCAAAGTCAAAGGTCAAAATTGTTGGTATCCAAAGGAGGGTCTTGTCACAAGGATTACACATATGAAATATGAGAGCCCTAGCATCAACCGTTCAAAAGTTATAGCCAATGTTAAAGTTTTTCAAAATAGGTCGAACTCCAAGGTCAAGGTCAAAGGGTCAAAGTTGTTAGTATCCAAAGGAAGGTCTTGTCACAAGGATTACACATGTGAAGTATTAAAGCCCTAGCACCAACCATTGAAAAGTTATGGCCAAGGATAAAGTTGGGAAAAATTTTGTATAACTGGGTCAAACTCCAAGGTCAAGGTCAAAAATGATGGTACCCAAAGAAAGGTCTTGTCACAAGGAATACACATGTGAAATATGAAAGCCATAGCTTCAACCAATCAAAAGTTATGAGCAATGTTAAAGTTTTTGCAGACAAACAGACAGATAGACGGATGGACAGGGCAAAAACTATATACCCCCGAATCTTTGATATGGGGGCATAAAAATGCTCTCTTTGGTTCGTAGTACGGGAATTAATGTTGCAGCTGTTGCAGAAAAAATACCTAGCCCATATAAGCGGGTAATATTATTTATACGGTATTGTCAAGAAACAATCTAAAGGTTGATCTTAAAGATTTGATATGCCAAATAATAAAATAATCAATCAAAAAGTTATGTTGAACTCGGCCATATATTTATTAGCAATAAAAGTACATATCATACAGAAGCAACAAATATAGACATCTGCTTTATACAAAAATATAATTTTGAAATCATCACAACCCGACTTCTCCAGCTCTTTTCCTCCTTTTCAAGTTTGGCAAAACAATTTACTGAATTCAACAAGTACTACATGTACATGTATTTTGCATACGTTTTTGTTTAAATTATGTAAAAAGAATATATAAAATAATTACGGTGATGATACTACACTGTACAAACTATGAGAATCATTTACCTAATACTAAACCACAGGAACTTGACACTTTAAACCTTTTTCTTTATTGATAAAAATATTCCCATACTATAATAATATTTTTATCAATAAAGAGAAAGGTTTAAAACATCAAGTGTCTGTGTAGTAAACTTAGGGAAAACAGTTGTGGGATCTTATTAATAACTCGCCATCAAGACTTGCATGTATAACTATTATAATAATTGGAAAGTTCTAAGCATTTTTGAACTTGATTTTTCAAATCAGCTTTGATGAACGCAGATGAAGTATCTCACAAAAATTACTTTTAACATATGCCCTTTTTTATCATTTCTTACTTTGCAAAATTACTGTAAAAGTAAAAGGAGGTGAAAATATATGAAAAGTTAAGTCACTGGGAACAAAAACACTTTTTCTTTCAATCAGCAACTCAAGTGAAATACGTGTACATGTACATATTCCATTTATTCCTTCTCAAGTGTAAACTGAATCAATTTTTGTCTATTGTAAGTTGGTACAATTCGCATAAAGCAATTGAGGTATCAATTGGTTGCATGTTGACTTTAAGTACAGACAATATACTATATATCATTGAAATCACAAAATCATTTCTACATACAACTGTTTGTGAACACAATTGTTAAAATTCTGTTAAATAAGACACTTGAAGACTAGCATAATTATGCTTTTATAATAATGCATAGTAAAATAATCATGAAAATATCAATCTGACATACAAGCAATTTTGATGATAAATAATAAATATGTAACCCATCAACAAATACTGCTACACTTCATCTAAATCTGCAGGTTTAATTTTCATGACAGAACATGAAGTTGTAGACAAACAAGACCTCTACAATATCATTTCAAGTTCAAGGAGTAAAATTATATATTTTAAATTATTTCTCATGTTTCAAATACATTTTGAGCACATTTACAAAATAATACCATATTTTACAAATTAAAAAAAATTTCAAATAAATCTACTAGTTTAATTTATTTTCAGGTAAGTACATGTACCTGAAGTTGTTGAAAAAAGAAGACCTCTACAACTTCAAGTCAAAGATGTAAAGTTAAATATTTTCAATTATTTTTCTTGTTTCAAATACATTTTGAGCACATTTCCATAATAATACCATATACCACAATTAAAAGAAAAAAAAAGAAGAGGCCCATAGGCCACATCACTCACCCGAGCACATTGGCTAGGAAAAAGCAGCAGTATTGAAAAGATTAAATATATAAGTGATTACAAATATCCCCCCACCCCATCCCACTCCCTGTGGAAAGGGGAGGGGTATGATTTGTTCACTTTTGAATCTACATTAACTGAGGATGCTTCAATATTTCTTTGAATAATCAAGGCTTTAGAAGATTTTATTCTATATGTTTGATCTTCTATTGTGGCTCTCCCCTAACCCCGGGGAACATAATTTGAACAAACATGAATCTACACTACCAAAGAATGTTTCTGAATTAATATGACTAGTCATGGATTTGCTGTTCTTAGGAAGAGGATTTTTAAAGATATTTCCTATGTATACCTAGGTAAAACTTTTATTGCCCATTGGGGCCCAACCCTACCCCCAGGGATCATGATTTGAAGAACTTGAATTTATGCTACCTGAGGATGCTTTCATATAAATATGATTAGTCATGGCTTTGCTGTTCTTCAGAAAAAGATTTATAAAGATTTTTTCCTATGTATACCTACATGTATGTAAAACTTTTATTGCCCACTGTGGCCCAACCTTATTCCCTGGGGTCATGATTTGAACAAACCTGAATATACACTATCTGAGGATGCTTCCATATTAATATGACTAACCATCTGCTGCTCTTGAGAAGAAGAATTTTAGAAACTTTTCCTATATATTCCTTTGTAAAACTTTGTTTGCCCATTGTGACCCCTCCCTAGTCCAGGGGGTCATGATTTGCACAAACTTGAATCTACACAATGTCAGAAAGCATTCACATAAGTTTCATCTTTTTTGGCCAAGTGTTTCTTGAAAAGAAGATTTTAAAATGACCCCACCCAATTTTTCACTTTTTCTTAATTACAGGTATCTCCCCTTGGAAGAAGGTGTGGGCCCTTCATTTGAACAAACTTGAATCCCCTTTACCCAAGGATACTCTGCAAAGTAGGATTGAAATTAGCCTAGTGGTTCTGCAGAAGAAGATGAAATTGTAAAAAGTTTACAACAACAACGACACCAAAGACAACGGACAAATTTTGATCAAAAAAGCTCACTTAAGCCTTCGGCTCAAGTGAGCTAAAAACTTCCTCCTAATTTTAATGGTTTTGAAAAAAAAAATGAATTAGACACATATTTAACTACATAAATAAGGGGAAAAGAATGTCCATACTAGCTGGGAAAAAACAACACTGAAGTCCATTCAGAGACCTAGGATCTGAAGGTGTGATCCCCCTTACTTTGTTGTTTATATATGAGCAGAATGTCTTCATCTGTACCATGGCTCTTGCGAGCTTTGTCAAACTTGTCCATCCGGGAACAGCACACATCTACCAATGTAAATGTCAGACAGCTTTAAAATAGTTCTGTATATACATTTAAAAGCATTTTTTTCTCTCTTTACGTTACTTACACCTCTAAAAGATAACACTTTACAGTATTAGATAAATCTCATGACAAATAATATACTGGCAAATGTGCGCTTCCTCACATCACCCAGTAAACAAAATGTTATTTGATGCCATTATAGAAAGGTTTATTTTGTTTAACTTTGCTGTAATTTTTCTTGTTCATTTTACAGACAGCTTAAAAATGGTTGAGAAATAAATGATGACTCAAGAAATAAACATTTTCAAGTAAATGTTGCATCAACACAAAATATTTGTTGTTGCATTGATAAATACATATACATACAAGTATATACATGTATCTGTAAATACTATATTTAGGGTTCTCTTTGTCCCATATTTTTTCACCCTATCATACTTGTGATTTTGCCCTAATTTAAAGTTGTGCAAAAGAGATGCCATAATTCTTGTCTTCTTTGAATTTGCCCCGATTTAAATTTGTTCAATTACAACAGCACAAAGGATTAAAATTAATGTGGCACAAAGATTTCCCTGTATTGAGTAATACATGCATTCACATTCATGTGGCTGGATGGATTGCTAACGACTTTATAAATCCCTTTACTGTACATAAAACAGGAAGTAACTACATGTTTGTGATATGTATACTGTAAAATCTGTTTTAATTCAAGAGAACTTTATTTTCATGTAAAAACACGAGACCATCTACTCACAAAAATTTCATTCTCAGATATACCGTATTTATGTTATTAAAGATTATCTGAAAATACAGCAATAACTAAAAGACATACAAATTTTGTCTCGCTCATGAATATCAAAATAACTTATCAGGAAAATAAGAAGTCATGAAAATTTGATGTACCAGACTTACAACAAGCCGAAATGACATAGACATTTCTCCAAAGAATACAAAATAATTTCACAGTCTCATTACAATGATAAAGAAATTGCATTTGCAAAACATGTAATAATGAGCAATGTTGGCTTTCCTTAAGCTACTGTAAACCAACTTTATTCGCTTGTGAGAAATATCAGCGAGTTTCGCAACCTATTTAACTCACGAATATTAATCGCCGCGAACCATTTATTTTGCTTTGTATTTCAATGCAGTGAATGTTTCCTCAGTTGCGAAAATTAATCGTTGCGGATTGATTTTAAACGGACTACCCCAGAATAAAAGATGACATGAATAATAGTTGGTTTACAGTATATCTGCTTTTCTTATAAACTGTTTATTGTTGAGAAAAACCTACCTTCATCATAGGAAGGATTTTTGTAAAATATATATTTCTTTTTCAAGTCAAATCCACACACCACAACATAGTGACCTACAAAAAATTAATAACTTTCTTTTACAGTGAGATAGTCTAATGTTTTTAATACTTTTTTTATGTTTTTAATATTTTTAATACGTCAGGTCTATTTTAAATGAGCTTTAATTTTTAAGCTATTTATTCAAGAGAGTATTTTTTATTGCTTTTACCCTGATATGTTCTGCAACAATGTCCACACCAGTTTAAACAGTGTTGCTTCTGTAAATACATATATAAAACATAGGTAATCACAGATTACAGAGCTCACCTCAACGAATGTTGTCTTTAAGTAAGGCAAAGTCCCACACTACACTAATAATCTAGGAGTGTGCATCCCTAGATACAACATTTATGCAATTTTGGTCTGATAGGGCTTGCAGTTACTTGGGAATAGACTTACCTGAAAACTGAAAACTAGTCACTCATCCAGAAAATGTAAGTCAAATCCAGCATCCGAAGCAAGTTTTGAGATTGTTTGTCCCTTGATGGATCATCCATGTAAGTTTGGTCAATATAGGGTTTAAAGTACTTGGAGATGACATCTGCTCCAAAAACTTAAACCTGGTCACTCATCCGAAAAATATAGGTCAGATTCAGCATCCAAAGCAAGTCCAGTAGTGTGCATCCTTAGATGTATCATCCATGCAAGTTTGGTCAATATAGGGCCTATAGTTACTTGGAAATGAGATCTGCTCCAAAATCCTTAACCTGGTCACTCATCCGAAAAATATAGGTCAGATCCAGCATCCGAAGCAAGTCCAGTAGTGTGCATCCTTAGATGTATCATCCATGCAAGTTTGGTCAATATAGGGTTTATAGTTACTTGGAAATGAGATCTACTCCAAAAACTTTAACCTAGTCACTCATCCGGAAAATCTAGGTCAGATCCAGCATCCGAAGCAAGTTCAGTAGTGTGCATCCTCAGATGTATCATCCATGCAAGTTTGGTCAATATTGGGCTTATTGTTACTTGGAAATGAGACCTGCTCCAAAAACTTTAACCTGCTCCAAAAACATTAACCTGGTCATTCTTTAGCTGAAATTGCAGCATCTGAAACCTTGACTGGTACAATAAAACACACTAGAAGCATCCTCCATGCATCTCTGACTAATATAGACCATAGAAGTACTTGAAAAGAAAACTGCTCCAAAAACCTTAACCTGGGACGCCGACGCCGAGGGTATTACGTAAGCTCCCCCAACTTCGTTGAGGTGAGCTAAAAAACTGATAATATTTATCAATAATAATATAATATAACCTATTCTAATCTATATAATTTGCTCTGAAATAAGCTGTTAGTCTGTACAGAGTTCCTCAAGTACACACATGTAAGAAGGAATTTAAGAGATAAATACTACTGGTTCTTTACAATCAAAGAAACATCTTGATGTTTAACACTTTACTACCAATAGTAGCTATTTCATTCATTGAAAGGTACAAGTATGAAAAATCCATAGAAGTTTATTATACAGAATGAAAAAAGCCATTGTGATGAATATACACACCACCCTGTCACACCAGATACACTCCAGTGAGCTCCAATCAACCAGGCAGATGAGCAGGTTCCCCCCTGATAGATGATTCACAATGTCTTTTATGCTTAAAGACCTGATGACAGACACAAATGTTAAATTTTTTCATACACACCATGCATTACAAAATGGTTATTACAAAATCCAAAATCATTGTTCTAAATGTGTGTTCTTTTTCACTTATGCGACAAAATTTTACATACATGTAGTAATGTTTACTATCTTACATTTATATCCTATGATGCCAAAACTGGACTTTTATTACTGGAGAGAGACATAATTATCTAGATTTGTTTTAAAAAATTCATTTATGTTGCTTAAGAATAAAATAATCATGACCTTTTGGAAACATCAAGTCCTGATTGGGAAGCCTCTGCAAACTTTTTGCTAACCCTTTCAGCATCTTTGTCAAAATTGCGCATATAGAATGGCTAAAAAACAAGTTCAAGTTCATTTATTACACTTAAACAAACAATCAGTGGTACATGAGATACAGTGTATTATGTCGTCCTCGTTCAATTGTGAAAGAAAAACTAAATGTATGATACAATACATAAATGACACATACACTGTATACAGGGAAATTTTAGCCCCCATTTAATTTTTTGCCCCTTTCTCCCTACTCACAGGTGGGCGAATTTAAAATGGGACAAATTCAAAAAACACAGTATAATTTCTTTAACAAAATTGTAACTAGGCAAAATTAAAATGGGGCAAAATTGTTTGCAAGTGTGAAAGGGCAAAAAAAATACATGGGACGAAAATAACCCTGTATACAGTACGTGTACAAAATACAGGAACAAACACAAAGAAAACAGAAAGAAAAGAAATGAAGATATATAAATTATGGAGGTCACACTGCATTTTTTATTTTAGATATGAATATACAGTGATTTTTTAAGGATTTAAAATTTGTGGTTGACAAAATTTCAGTAAATTTAAGTGTATTTGGCATTTTACAATCTGAGATGTAAAAGGTTCTTCCTTATACTACTCAGTGATTTATTTTCTAAAATGAAATTATGGAATTTGTCTGCTATTTGACCTGATTTACTAAATGCGCACAGTCTTTCATCCATTGGATTGGAATATTTGACCATCACAAGTCTCAATTAGAAGGTGGTGATTTTAAGTTCTAAATTTTATCAGTATTTTTCAAAGTTTACTTGATAAGTTCACATCCAAAATCACTATTCAAAGTTTTTAAGTTTGACCTTTTGATAAGTTATTTATATCACTATGCCATTTTTTTTATAAATATTTTGCTTAATCTCACATGAGGTAAAATTTTGTAAATAAAATCTACCCCTGGATTTTTAAGCCTCTTGAAAAATATTGAGAACATAAATATTTATTTCATACACAAAACATTTTGTTTTCTGGAGAATCTGAGGCAAGTAATTTTAACCAGAATTTTTACTGGTACTAGTAAAATCACATTACCAATTATCTATTTATTACGATATCAAGAACAACACTTCTACTATAATAATTCATAACAATTTAAGGTACATCTAAATAAGATGTTCTTATTTACCTAGTAAATCCATCATTTTGCAAAAACAAATTCTATCAATGATAAAGGTTGCTCATGAAAGTTTTAGTGAGATGTTAAATAACAACTTAGTAATGATCATTATTGTATGCATGCATCATCACCTTTCTGGCATACTGGTCATCCACACCCAAGGTAACTGTGGAGAACTCTACCCTGACTTTGTACTTAAGTAAAAGGTATCCCAAATCAATTGTCCATATACTGAAACAATAACAACAAAATCATACTTTAGTTAAAACAATCCAACTTTAATATTTACATTTTCCAATGTCTTTCTCCGAGATAAAACTACAAATAAGTAATGGCTTTATAACCCCATAAAGCGATTTGCTCAGCATGTGACAGAACTGCATGCTTTTTTGCTGCGTGTTGCTTAGAAATACACCCGGCAGGGATGCTGAGATTTCTTATTGATTTTTTTTATTGAATCAAGGATCAGGTAAAAATAAAAATATAAGGAATAACTGTCTGGTTTTTTGGCTTTATGATGATGATCAATCAATTTGCTTGTGTGATACTTTTACGCATAAACACCTTCGGCATTTATGCAAATTATCACGCGAGCAAATTGATTGATCACATCATAAAACAAAAAAACTAGACAGTTATTCCTTAAATAAAATTTGAATATCATTTCTGTATCAGGTTTTTTGTTAATCTTCTATACATGTATGTAGTATATGTACAGGTGTGTAAGCCACAAGTTGATATATGTTTTACAGGTGTTCTTACTCAGGTGTGAGAATCAACCTTTCACCTATCACTACTGTCCAAGAAAAAGCATTGTCTGCCAATATTTATTTTATGCTGCTGCATGTTAGCATTACAATACATTTCTGACATATATTAGGTCTTCAGTGAAGTGTGTCAAACAATCACACTGAATTGTACAATATTAAGTTTGAAAGGGAAATCAATTATAAATAATAAGCTTTTAAGATTATATAGGTGTTATATGATATACATGTATTGATAAAAACAATATTAACAAGAGACCCATGGGCCACAATGCTCACCTGAGTAACTAATAAACTATGGCCCTTTATCAGCAGATTTATCCCTTATATATATCTATGTAAAATTTGCTGCAAATATGTAGCTTGCTGGTCTGAAAAAAACTGGGACCGGAGAGCTACAGTGCCATCCATTGAAAAAAGTGTATAATTAATGCGCACAAAAAAGTTAAATTATTTAATAAATCACAAGTTAATCTGTCTTTGGTATTGGGCTAATTCTTGCATAATCAAATGCAATCAAATAATAGTTTCTAAAGTTCACATAACTGAAGCTACATTACCTGAAGATGCTTTCATATAAAAGATTAATCATGACATTGTTGATTTTAAAAAGAAGAATTTTAAAGATTTTTCCTATGCATTCCTATGTAAAATTCTGATCACCCATATAGGCCACACCCTACCCCAGGGGGTTATGATTTTGAAAAAATTTGAATCTACAAGATTGCTTTTTTCTAAATATTGACTAATAATAACCTTCTGTTCTTCAGAAGAATTTACTAGATTTTCCATATGCATTCCTATGTAAAACTTTAATTACCCATAGTGGTCCCATCCTACCTCCCTGAGTCATGATTTGAACAAACTTGAATCTACACTACTTGAGAATGCTTCTATATAAATACTGTATACAGGGGATTTTTGCCACCAATTTATTTTTGCCCCTTTCGACCTTGGCACAAGTGGGAAAATTTAAGACTGTGAATTCAAAGAAAACAGTAAAATTTCTTAAACAGAACTATGACTAGGCAAATTTAAAATGGAGCAAAATTGTTTTCAATTGTGAAAGGGCGAAAATAATCCTGTAAACAGTATGACTAATCATGACTATTCTGTTCTTGAGATGTATTTTAGAGATTTTCCCTATGTATTCCTATGCAAAACTTCGGTTGGCCCCATACTAGCATCCGGGGATCATGATTTGAATAAAACTGAATCTAAACTAGTTGAGGATGCTTCCTTCTAAATATGACTAATACAGACCTTGCTGTTCTTCAGAAATGAATTTTAAAGTACCAGTATTTCCCTATGCATTCCTATGTAAAACTTTAATTGCCCATAGTGGCCCCACCCTACCCTAAATGATTGAGATTTGAACAAATTTGAATCTAACCTACCCCAAAAAAGCTTTCACATAAGTTTCATCTTTTATTTCCCACTGGTTCTTGTTAAGAAGATTTTTAAATTGCCCCACCCAATTTTCACTATTTCTTAATTATCTCCCCTTGGAAAAGGGTGTGACACTTCATTTGAAAAACTTGAATCCCCTTTACACAAGGATACTCTGCGCTAAATTTGGTTGAAAATGGCCCAGTGGTTATGGAGAAGATGAAAATGTGAAAAGTTTACAACAATGACAATGGACAAATTTCGATCAGAAAAGCTCTTTTAAGCCTAAGGCTCAGGTGATCCAAAAACTGCAAGGAGAACATGACGTAAAAAGCATTTATCTGACCATACCTTTGACCACATTGAAGTTCATCAAGATCACTAGTGTAAACACAGGAATCATCTTTTCCCAAATATCTACATTGATAAAAAGTTAAATGTACATATTATCATTTGTGCAAATGCAATAAAATATGGTATAACATGCAGTACCTCACATACTATTCAAAGTTGTGACAATGAAAGAAAATTTAAGATAGAGGTACCCGTCTGGTTGAACCCCCAAAATGGAGTAAATGGAAATAAGAAAATTATACCCCCAAACGGGAGTACATGTATGAGCATGTGACGATGCTTTAAAATGTACTTATTTCACACAAAAAGTAGAGGTTTACAAAAAATGCATGTGCAAAGTAATGGATCATTTTGAAGATGTAAAATCACTCTTAAATGATAGATTAAAAGTGTTTGAAGACTTTGTATTTTAAAAAAATATTACTTTATTGAACAAATTGGGATTTTGTCTGTCAAAGTTGGCAATTTTCTGTTCCTTGAATCCTAAACTATTTTGATAAACAGACAAAAGCAATCAATATTTATAAAAATTGAAATTATTAAAGAAATACATTATTCTAACTTATATCTTTTATTACTGTTTGTAATACAAAATTATCTCTCTATATTATAAAACATGTGAAAAGTTCATACTAAATTTGTTTAGCTCATGCATGAATTCATCAACATATTTATTTAAATATTAGTCATTCTATGTACATAATTGGGGTATACAAAGAAAAAAGTAAAAAATAAAAATATGACAAGTAAGTCAGATTGACAAAAATGATAAAAAAATGTAATTACTGCAGTTAATAAACATGACGACTAGCCATCATTTTTCAGAATGACGTATTTCAGTCTCACCCCTGATTGATAATACCAGTGGTGGATTTAAGGGGGGGGAACGCACCTGGTGCACCCCCCTAAAATTGTCAAAGTTAGCGAAAATCATAGCTTTGTCGAGAAAATGTAAAAATGTCTACTCGGTAGACCTCATTTTTACCCTGCAAAATTTCTAGAATTCAGGAGCTTCCGGGGGCTTCGCCCCCTTGGCCCCCAACAGGGCTTCACCCATGACCCACTTGGGGGCCTCAGGGCGGCCCCCAGACCCCCTGCCTACTTTCGGCGCCCCCTCTAACTTCAATTTCTGGATCCGCGCCTGAATACTACCATCAAACCAGAAGTCTCTGATGAGACTGTAGCTCTACTGGTCTGTTTGTATAACAAAAGAAAAGTAGCACTTGGATTTGAAACATTGCAACATGCCACAATAAATAGAATTATGTATCTTAATGTAGTCTACTTTTGTGACAAGTTATATTGAAATCAAATGAAAACTAGGAGTAGTAGCGTTTTGAAAGTATTTCACGGAAATTTCTATTTTTAGTACCGGTAACCATGACAACACCACTCACCCAAATAAAAAAAAAACAGAAATACATATTATGTATCGTAGTGTATTCTAACTGTTTAACTAGATTGAAATCAGACCAAAATTGTAGGAGGAGTAACGTTTTAAAGGAATTTCACAGAAATTTCTATTTTAAGTAACCATGGCAACACTGTTCATCGAATTCAAAAACCAATGCAATAAATTATGTATCTTAGTATAGTCTTCTTGTATGCCTAATTATATTAGAAGCAGACTAAACCTGTAGCAGGAGTAGTGTTTAAAGGGAATTTCACAGAAATTTCTATTTTTAGTAACCATGGCAACACCGTCCATCGAAATCAAAAACCGATGCACTAAATTATGTATCTTAGTGTAGTCTACTTGTGTGCCAAGATATATTGAAATCGGACCAAAACTGTAGGAGGAGTAGCGTTTTAAAGAAATTTAACAGAAATTTCTATTTTTAGTAACCATGGCAACACCGTCCATCGAAATCAAAAACCGATGCACTAAATTATGTATCTTAGTGTAGTCTACTTGTGTGCCAAGTTATATTGAAATCGGACCAAAACTGTAGGAGGAGTAGCGTTTTAAAGGAATTTCACAGAAATTTCTATTTTTAGTAACCATGGCAACACCGTCCATTGAAATCAAAAACCGATGCACTAAATTATGTATCTTAGTGTAGTCTACTTGTGTGCCAAGTTATATTGAAATCGGACCAAAACTGTAGGAGGAGTAGCGTTTTAAAGGAATTTCACAGAAATTTCTATTTTTAGTAACCATGGCAACACCGTCCATCGAAATCAAAAACCGATGCACTAAATTATGTATCTTAGTGTAGTCTACTTGTGTGCCAAGTTATATTGAAATCGGACCAAAACTGTAGGAGGAGTAGCGTTTTGAAAAATTGTTTACAGACAGACGGACAGACAGACAGACAGACGGATGGACGACGGACACCTCACTATCGCATAAGCTCTTCTGGTCTCTGACCAGTAGAGCTAAAAATAGTTAGTTTACTTTAATTTTCTCTATGCATACCACATTCTTGATTTAAAAAAGAAAGAAGAAAAAAATATATGGACCTTAGCACCATACAGCAGCAGGCAAGTCCACAGTCCCAGCTGTAAATCTGCATACATGTCTCCAGTTTCAGCAGCAGTCTTTCCTCCTGAAAGACATCCTGATTTTGATCTACAAAAAATATTTTTTAACAATGTTACTAAGTATAGAAAAAAACTAAGTGTGCAAGACAAACGATCAATTTTGAGGTTAGTAAAAACACATCGTGTTGAACCTCTGAAGGAAATTACTGCTAGATTCAACCATTTTCGGAGAAATACTGTTTCAGAAGTAACTGTGAAAAGATGCTTGTTTCGAAATAAATACCACAGATGAGTTGTTAGAAAAAACATGAATCCGAGATGTGAATTTTAAAAAATGAGTAGAATGGTCCAGGGGGAAAAGGCATTGGAAAGTTGATGGTGACTGGAATCGTGTTATATTTTTTCTGATGAATGAAAAGTGATTATTGGAAAAAACAACCCCGTATATGTGTGGCAGAGACCCAGAGAGGAGTGGATGCCGCAATGCATTAGTCCCGGCCGTGGCGCAAGGGTTAGTCTAATGGTTTGGGGGTGAATCTGCTGGAATGGAGTAGGTATTCTAACAATTGTCAATGATAATATTAATGCTGAAAAGTACAGAGAAATCATAATGACACCATTGTTACGTAAAAAATAATTTCTGGCCTGTCATAAGATATAGTAATTCACCATCTTGATAGTGCTAAAACTGCAAATTCCTTCCCAAATATGTTGCTAAAATCCATGCTATGTAGTGTTTTCAATCTCACAACTGCTAAGCTATGACGTCTCAACCGCTCAACTATGACGTCAAGCCTATGACACTGTGTTAAGAAAAGACAGAAGCAAAGGGAACATCAAAGAAAATGTAATAAACAGAAAATTCAATGATTTGTAGATGAATATGGTATTTATTTCTCTCGTGAGACAGGATTTTTTTATATTTTCACTCGTGCTTCGCACTCGTGAAAATATAAAAAAATCCTGTCCCACTCGTGAAATAAATTCCATATTCATCTACAAAACATTGAATATCCTCTATTTATTCATGCCTTATCACACACAAGGTGGTGTACAGTTACTCAAACAACGGAAATATATATCTAATGATATTTTCCTTAAAAGTGTACAAACGCAGCAATGTTAAAACTATCTCTGCTTTAGATTGCTTTTTAAATAATACCTAGAATAAATATTTGTAGACATTTACTTGCGACTTTTTGTCTTTTTGAAATAAGAAGCAAATTTGTGAAAAGTTGCCTTGAAATAGCTAAATAAAGCTACATGAGGTAGGTAAATAACGCTACGGTAGGTAATTTTAGCTACGTAGCTGAATGTACTGATTGTACTGGACCTCATAATGACTTTCTGAATATTTGAACATAATCATGAAAACATGGTTCAATCACAGTTTGTTTTTTTCAAAACATCATTATCCTAGCACTTTTCATAATATCACTCTTGACCATATTATTGCACATTTTCTTCAGCAGTGGTTTATAGAGATGAAGAACACAACAACTGAAAAGGTCATAAAAATGAAATAGATTCTCAACAAATGCTCATTAAAAACAATGTGTAATTTTCACCGTCCTCAATTTACCTCCGCTCTCAGCCATTATATAGTAAACCAATCATTGCTGTTAAATTTGTTTAAATACTCCACGGTGACCACCCTGTCAAAATCGGGGAAAACAACAACCAACTGCGATTCACAAGATATTTATGGAATACCAAACCCGATCTCGTAACGGTTTCATTAGAGACTAAGAGAGCAGAGTGATGAAAATGTATCAATTGCTTCAATATGATATTGAATTATATCCTATATGTGGACTTGGTTCATACTTTAGCCTACTTTCTAAAATATTAAAAAAAATTAAAATGATACTGATGCATATTTTGATAAAAAGTATTGAATAGAATGGAATATTTATTCAACCAATTTATTATTTGGGCCGACAGTGGAGCATAAAGATGAACAATGTCCGAAATCATAGTCATAAATAGCAATAAACAAAACAAAACAAACAACTGTACATTGAACAGAGAGTTAGCTGTCAACTTTTAGGATGCATAAAATGTATAAAATGGTATATGTATAATGACTGTAATATACCTATATTATACTATGTTGTTTTCTCATATTAAAATTTTCATTTAAATGTTGGCATAATAAAACAACAAACTCAGAATCTTCATTTGACATAATCCATGTAAACAGGTCCACATTATTAAGCAGTATTAAATTTCGAAAAGTTTAAAAGATTTTGTTTTAAAATTCTCCTCTAGAATCATTATACAGTGGACATTCTAGCAAAAAATGTATTTCATCCTCAGTTGGACTTGAAGTACAGTAACGACAGAAGCTTTCACTCTTGGGAAGAATTTCATTTTTACCACATTTATTAAGTATCTTTACTTATCTACCCGTCTCTGAAACAAAACTTCCATTATGCAAATTTCCAAAGAAACATTCAATCAAGGACAAATTGTATATAAAAACTGTCTTTGGAGGGTGGATGGTGGGGAATATTTCTAATACATTGACAAGTAAAATAACTATGCTTGTTTAAATACAAGTATAATTGTACCATACTGCACTCTGCTGCAATACAATGCGATACATTGTGATGCCTGCCAAATTGTGCAATCAAAATTAACTTAGTCAATTTTTTTTAATTAAATTTAAAAACTGATTGAATACACACACTTTTTTCATTTTTTGCTTTGAAAAAAAAAAAAAAAAAAGGTTTCAAAAATAGACTAGAGAACATTTCTTTTATTCTCACATTCTTAAATATTTGTTTTCTTTGATATGAATCAAAATTAACAATCAGTAACTAAGTCGAAGGACTTTCGCAAAGTTACGTGTTGCTGTTTTTTTTTTTTTTTTTTTTTTTTTTTTTTTTTTTTTTTTTTTTTTTTATCGAAAGACTAGTTTGGGTATGCGCAAAAGATCCAAAAGAAATGTACACTCCTTTTTGACTGATGAGAGGATTTTTTTGTTTGCAAGAGAATTTATACTGTTTACCATAGAAGAATTTAACTGCATTTTATTGCACTGCACTGCAATGCAATGTCAATCAATTAAATGAAGTCCATTTTTGTTTTACATTATGGTATTGAAAATAAGGTGTAAATCAACATATTTTCTAATAAATTTTTATTTTTAAAAAAAAGTTTTGAAAAAAGGACTGGATGGAATATTTTCATTCCCATTTTCTTATATGATTCTTCTCTTTCATATGAATCTAAATGAACAATGCAGTAATAATGTCGAAGGATTGTTGGACAAATTTTTTCATTGCTGTTTATTATTTTATGCAACGCCTAGTTTGGGTATATGAAAGATTGAAAATGAGAGAAATCTCATGTTTGACTGATGAGTGTAAATTTTGAGAGTATTGCAGATAAGCACCAGGAAGGATAAACAGAATATATTCTGATATCAGTACTTAGAGCTAAGTTCTCATCAAAGAACAGTTACTTTTGCTGATTGTTTTTATTTGAAAGACTGATATGGATATATGCGAAACATCCCGAGGAAAATTGGAGTGTCGAGTGAAGTTCTTTAATTGCAAGCTAATTCATTTTGCTTTTAAATAAAAATATAACTGTCCTACAATACATTGCATTGTAATGCTTGATGTACTGTCTAATTAAAACATACTTGGTCAATTTTTATTATTAGGCAAAACAGTGAAAAAATATAAACTTTCCTGTTTGACTGATGAGTGAATATTTTGAGACTCAAACAAAGCGCCGATGACTTTGTAGAACAATCAAAGACGCTTTTCAATACTGCTTATCAGTACTTGTTTAGTGAGATAAGCTCACACTAAGTTCTTTACACGCGACATTACCGTTATTTACTCAGACTTTAACACATGGTCATAGAGTGAACGTCTGCCTAACGTCTTATATATAGTATACAAGCCTGTTACTCGTTAGCATTGCTTAAACATTTACATAAGATAAAGCAGAAATTAATGATCGTTTTGTCTACGTTGTTCAAAGGGACATAATTTGAGTTATCGAACTTTGAAACAAAACTTACATTATGCAAATTTCCAAAGAAACATTCAATCACAAGGACAAATTGTATATAAAACCTCTCTTTGGAGGGTGGATGGTGGGGAATATTTCTCATTGACAAGTAGAATAATTGTGCTTGTTTAAATTCAAGTAGAATTGCATCGCACTGCACTCTGCTGCAATACAAAGCAATACATTGTGATGCCTGCCAAATTGTGCAATCAAAATTAACTTAGTCAATTTTTTTTCTTAATTGAATTTAAAAACTGATTGAATACACACACTTTTTTTCATCTTATGCTTTGAAAAAAAAAAACGGTTTCAAAAATAGACTAGAGAACATTTCTTTTATTCTCATATTCTTAAATATTTGTTTTCTTTGATATGAATCAAAATTAACAATCAGTAATTAAGTCGAAGGACTTTCGCAAAGTTACGTGTTGCTGTTTTTTTTATCGAATGACTAGTTTGGGTATGCGCAAGTAGAATTGCACCATACTGCACTCTGCTGCGATGCAATGCGATACTATACATTGTTATGCCTGCCAAATTGTCCAATCAAAATTAACTTAGTCATTTTTTTTCTTAATTGAATTTAAAAACTGATTGAATGCACACACTTATTTTCATTTCATGCTTTGAAAAAAAAAAGTTTCAAAAAAAGAGCTAGACTAGAGAGCATTTCTTTTATTCTCACATTCTTAAATATTTGTTTTCTTTGATATGAATCAAAATTAACAATCAGTAATTAAGTCGAAGGACTTTCGCAAAGTTACGTGTTCCTGTTTTTTTTTTTATCGAATGACTAGTTTGGGTATGCGCAAGTAGAACTGCACCATACTGCACACTGCTGCAATACATTGTGATACATTGCGATGCCTGCGAAATTGCGAAATCAAAATTAACTTTGTCAATTTTTTTTTTAATTGAATTGAAAACTGATTAAATACACAAATTTTTTTTTTCATTTCATGCTTTGAAAAAAAAAAGTTTCAAAAAAAAGAGCTAGACTAGAGTGCATTTCTTATATTCTCATATTCTTAAATATTTTGTTTTCTTTGATATGAATCAAAATTAACAGTCAGTAACTAAGTCGAAGGACTTTCGCAAAGTTACGTGTTGCTGTTTCTTTTTTTTATCGAATGATTAGTTTGGATATGCACAAAAGATCCAAAAGAAATGAACACTCCTTTTTGACTGATGAGTGGATTTTTTGTTTGCAAGAGAATTTATACTGTTTACCATAATAAGAATTTAACTGCATTTTATTGCACTGCACTGCAATGCAATGTCAATCAATTAAATGAAGTCCATTTTTGTTTTACATTATGGTATTGTAAATAAGGTGTAAATCAACATATTTTCTAATAAATTTTTATTTTTAAAAAAAGTTTTGAAAAAAGGATTGGATGGAATATTTTCATTCCCATTTTCTTATATGATTCTTCTCTTTCATATGAATCTAAATGAACAATGCAGTAATAATGTCGAAGGATTGTTGGACAAATTTTTTCATTGCTGTTTATTATTTTATGCAACGCCTAGTTTGGGTATATGAAAGATTGAAAATGAGAGAAATCTCATGTTTGACTGATGAGTGTAAATTTTGAGAGTATTGCAGATAAGCACCAGGAAGGATAAACAGAATATATTCTGATAACAGTACTTAGAACTAAGTTCTCATCAAAGAACAGTTACTTTTGCTGATTGTTTTTTTTTTATTGAAAGACTGATATGGATATATGCGAAACATCCCGAGGAAAATTGGAGTGTCGAGTGAAGTTCTTTAATTGCAAGCTAATTCATTTTGCTTTTAAATAAAAATATAACTGTCCTACAATACATTGCATTGTAATGCTTGATGTACTGTCTAATTAAAACATACTTGGTCAATTTTTATTATTAGGCAAAACAGTGAAAAAATATAAACTTTCCTGTTTGACTGATGAGTGAATATTTTGAGACTCAAACAAAGCGCCGATGACTTTGTAGAACAATCAAAGACGCTTTTCAATACTGCTTAGCAGTACTTGTTTAGTGAGATAAGCTCACACTAAGTTCTTTACACGCGACATTACCAACTGATTACCGTTATTTACTCAGACTTTAACACATGGTCATAGAGTGAACGTCTGCCTAACGTCTTATATATAGTATACAAGCCTGTTACTCGTTAGCATTGCTTAAACATTTACATAAGATAAAGCAGAAATTAATGATCGTTTTGTCTACGTTGTTCAAAGGGACATAATTTGAGTTATCGAACTTTGAAACAAAACTTACATTATGCAAATTTCCAAAGAAACATTCAATCACAAGGACAAATTGTATATAAAACCTCTCTTTGGAGGGTGAATGGTGGGGAATATTTCTCATTGACAAGTAGAATAATTGTGCTTGTTTAAATTCAAGTAGAATTGCATCGCACTGCACTCTGCTGCAATACAAAGCAATACATTGTGATGCCTGCCAAATTGTGCAATTAAAATTAACTTAGTCAATTTTTTTTCTTAATTGAATTTAAAAACTGATTGAATACACACACTTTTTTTCATCTTATGCTTTGAAAAAAAAAACGGTTTCAAAAATAGACTAGAGAACATTTCTTTTATTCTCATATTCTTAAATATTTGTTTTCTTTGATATGAATCAAAAT